TAAGTGTTTTAATATTTTTAAACAAACTGAATAAAAAAAACAAAAAAATAAACTCGATACAAAAGAAAACAAAACATAAAACTACTATAAGTCACCTTAATCCTTGATTCTTAACCTAACCTAATAACTAAATTAGCTCGCAGTGCTCGCACTTGCATTCTTCTGGTTTTTTTTTGTGGACATTGGACACTTTTGTTTAACCTGTTTATAGAGAACTTGTTTTACGCCACCATGTAACGTTTTTTTTCCTAAAATACCCAAAAAATCAAAAAGGGTTTAAACCCATCACTGAAAAAACCCGGGTGGGTTTAAACCCAAACCGGTTTTTTGGGTTTAAACCTAAAAACCCGTCGACCCATCACTAGTTAGTGGGTTAATTTAACACTCGGATGGGCGATGGGCTTCACGAAAAACATTGTTTTTTATCTACTAGGTTAGGTACCTCTTTACCTAACTAAAGTCACTAAAAATCTGACTTTACAGATTGGGGCAGGTTACTTATTCAACGAAATTTAATGCTAATATCTTCTAGCTTCTCAAGAATGTACATATTAGGCAATTTAAGTTAGTTCAGTAATATTGCCATGTCATCACCCTTCTTGGAATTTTTTTGATCTAAGCAACATCTCATCTAAGCAAAACCCTCCTCTCGGGTGGATCCTGTAATCCAAAGCTTCAACTACTTTTTTCCTGCGGTGCATGACAAATTTCTGAACTAAGCGAGATTAAATTCCTAATCGAGATTAAGTCCATACGGTCGTAAAATGGGCGCGGGCTAAAGGCATGTTTGGGGTGCGGTCAATATTCTGCTGGGATGCACCTGGAGTGATCCATGCGCTCCGTCCGTCCATTCGAAAATGCAGGTATTCGTTAATTTTTCCCGCCGTTTAAAAATATCCCCGGTATTGTACAGCAACGGCAAAATGTACTGAATTTTAAAGTGTGGTACTGACGTACTGAAGAGAGTCAAATTGTACAGATTTCAGTACATCTGTACTGATGCTGGCAACACTGCCAAGAGTTGAGGTCTGAGACTGACACTTTCACTTTTCAGCTCAGCAGTCCTATTAGGTTAAGTTTTCTTGGGCGCGCGGCGCGCATCAGAGACGCATGTACCAGGAGAGGCGTAACATAACTAAATATTGTATAGTAGATTTTCATTTCGGTTAAGCAATATATTTAATTATCGATTTGTATTACTACAGAGAGAATTCGTAAGAATTGCTACCTCAGTCGTGAGATCGTGAAATTCTGACCAAAATCGTGTAATCTTACGAATAATCGTGAGATCTGGCAACACTGGTCCTGATGAATGAGCGTGATGAAGTGTTACACCAAGAAACACTTGTAGTTATTTATATACGTTTTTTCAATAAGTCGTTGGATTATTTCCTTTCCGTTTGCATGATGTACCAAGTACCAATACACTGGCCTTTTTCACCTAGTTTATCATGGAAAATGTATATACAGACCGGACAAACCTACTAGACACATAGGGAGTGATAAGACGAATTAGCTTGTAGCCGGTTAAGGCGAATCGAATCGGCATTTGCTCCTTACCCCAAAGACCTTTAAATTTTATTAATAATTCAAAATGGAAAATAATCAAATACATATTATTATATCGGGTCTTCAAAAAAAAAACCAATCGAAGATTGCTATCGTTTAAGCCGTTTTTTAATTCCGCTTGCCTCCATCATTAGAAGTCCCAAAAATACCGTGAAAAGACCCAAAAATTTAGCGGCTGCGGCGCCTTTCTTCCTGCAGCGCTTGCGGCGAAGTTGCCACTGCTGCAAGAATCACTTCCTGCACATTTGCCGCTTCCTCCCCCCCCTCAAGACAAAATCCTGACTACGCCAATGGTGCTGTCGAAGCCGAGTATAACCGAGCTGCAGAAGATGCACAAATTTCGATAATATGAAGGATCCTGCAGAGACGATCAACGATACTTATGTTAATTTTTGGAGCCCAAGCCCCATGGTAATTTTGAAATTCCGGCGCCTATGTCTCCATTCGTTAGGTCGATCGAGTAGGTGTAGGTATAGGTGAATTCACGATAGAGTTTGAATTTTGACTGTTATTTTCACCAGTTGAAAGTAAATAAATTCCCTAGACGTGTCCCTTTTTCTGTCAACTATCAAATAATGATACATGACATTCCGATTTGACACATAAAAATATCAGATTCGGGTCTTTGAATTTTGAATTTCGAATTTTTGTGTGGAATCATTCCAGATTCTTGCCGTTTGCTGCATTATATTTTGATTTGCTATATTCACAATCGGTTTTTTGGTTTTTTATGTAGTGTTCTGCGCCTTTGTGTTTCGGTGTTGCGTTTCAAACCTGATTTTAGTTTGGATTTAAGTGTTTACTCTTTTTATAAGTGTTTACTTTGAACTCTAATTCTTGAATTTTTAGATTTTAGTAACTTAACTTCCTTTAAAGAAATTGACCATATTAGTTAGGTTAAGAAAAATCGGGCGCGAAATTTAAAATGGGTTCCTAAAAACATTTCAACAAATTTGACAGCAATGTATTTCTTATGGGGGATTCAAAAGAGTGATTTTCAGACGGGAATATCTTGGGTTCTGGGCATTTCTTAGTATTGGAACCTATTGTACATCAAACTTTGAACATATTTCTCTATAATTCATGCTCTAATTGTTTTTTTAGACCTATGAATTAAAAATACAAATAATTTTAATTAAAAGTGTCTGTTTTCGGTGGACGTACGTCGAGTCTAAAACCAGCTGAGAGAAAGTGAGGTTGTGTGTTGTGTTATGATTGTTGGTGAATTGTTTATTTATTTATTTATCACTAGTTCAGTCATTTATTTTTCAATTTTTTTGGATTATTGAAGTACATTTACTAACCAAGTATGTAGGTGAACTTTTATTTTATTATAATTAGGTACTCATATATACTTATGAATCAAGCAAGGACATACGTATTTTATACAAACATCGGCTTCCTTAATTGGTAATATTTTTATTTTAACAATGTTTATTCAACTTTCAATCACTCTCTCAGTTAATTAACATATTAAAAAAACTATTTATACAACTCAATTCCGTAACAAAAGTTCTATCACGACTACAGACGCTTTTAAAATTGAGTCCCCATAAGACATCAATGTATTAATTTTTGAACTAGGAACCCGCGCCAATTTGCGATTCTAACCTAACTAATATCATCAATTGAAAATAAATTTTTATTCTGAAATGTATATCACTTTTCTAAATACGACTCTGTCGTTTATCCCTGCTGACGGAATCGAAGTGCAAACGCATGCTGGCAACTTAAAGAAAAAGTTACTAGAAATGTCGAAGGGAACTGTCAAATTCACTTTCTATCGTGATTTCAACTATTACCTATTACCATTACTGAGAGAATTTTAAAAAAAATATCTCAATTCTGGTCTCTATTCTATGCATGATTATTCAAAAACTGTACATAGTATTGAATTCATACTAACATGGAAAGGTTGATGGGGTAGTCACACTGATCTGAAAAATAAATGGATAAACAAAGAACGCTTCTATGCTGCTAATTTACCAGGTCAAAATCTAAACAAAAACAACTGACTGGGACAGCTGTGAGCGTGCGCAGTAGATACATGTATTGTGCGTGCACAAAATCTGGCCAATGAAAATGAAGGACTTTCAAAATTTAGAACAGTTGTTCGAAAGATAAGACACTGCGCAGGCGTTAGGCTGTTCCGTTGCACAACTGTTCGTAGAATATTGACCCCAAATATTCGCACAAATTTTGCTAATCAAGCCGTATGAATTGTTTATCCATTTATATTTTAGATCAGTGGGTAGTCAGAAACAGGAAAATACCAGTGGCGTACACAATGAAGTAAAAAACAAGGCGAATGGGTATTTTTACTATTTTCGGAGCTCGAACTATCTTCAAAGCGCTTTAGAGAAATTAAGATGAGAAATAGACAGGACAAATAAATATGGAAAAGAAAACTTCTTCTGTATTCTAGGCACTTGAATTTATTAAATTTTCTTGTTCCAAACTCTCAAAATCTATTGTTTATTTTATATTTAGGTATTCTTTATCGGAATCGAAAAAAAATCAATAGAGATTTCATAAGCTCATTGTACTTTATATCAATTATTCACCTTTTCTTCTATTGGTATTGCTTTTGTGGAATTATCAAAACCTCAATTATTACAACACTCTCAACTTTAACATGACCTCTAATTAAAAATATAATATCTATCTATTCAGCCTTTTCAGTCCATCTTTGGACGTAGGCCTCCCCCAGTCTTCTCCATTCCTCTCTGTCTGTTGTCATGTTCATCCACCTGGTTCCAGCGTGCTTCTTCAGGTCATCAGCATACCTCATCTGGAGTCTTCCTCTACTTCTCTTATTCTCCCAAGGTCTTCAGCTCAAGATACATTTATTCCATCGGTCGTCTTTTTGTCTGATATTGTGACCTGCGAATTTCCATTTTAATTGTGCTACCTCCTTTCTAACGTCTCTTACTCTCGTTTTATTTCTTATCCACTCGTTCCTCTTTTTATCAATCAGTTTCACATGTAACATTTTTGTCTTTCCATTAATCTTTGTGCTTTTGTTATTTTATCCATGTTTGACTTTGTAAGTGTCCATATTTAGGATCCATAGGTGAGAACAAGAAGTATACATTGATTATAAATTTTGGTTTTGAGGCATTGTGGATATTTTCTATTTTTCAAGATGTAGCTTAATTTGCCGAATGCTGCCCAGGCTAATCTAACTCGTCTCCTGATTTATGCTGTTTGGTTTTGTTTGTTGAGTTTAATAATCTGTCTTAGATATATATATTCGTCGACTTGTTCTATCCTTTCCTGTCCTATTCTGATTGTGATGTCATCGTCTGTGTTCGTTATTGTTTTAATTTTAGCGTAAGTAAATCATATTGAGAGAGATTTAAAAAAAAAGATACATTCAAGTCAAATTCAGTTTATTCCTTAAAAAAATCTAATAGGTAGGTAGGTATCTCACAAAATCAGATATAAAAAATATATTCTCATTCCCAACAAAATATTATCTACATTATTTTACATATCACAAAATAGTTGGTCTTTATAGTCACTTAGTAAATTTTACTTAAACCTAACCTAACAATAACCTACAATAATAAAAAAAAAATTGTATTTAAATTTAAAACATAGTTCTTCTGATCTTATTTTTCTCAATTTTATTTTTCAAATCCTGTCTGACATTAATAGAAACGAATTTATTTAAATGAATAGAATGTTGGGGCGAGTTCGAATACGTATGATCGTATTCGGACTTATTGAATGCAACTTCGAATTTGATTGCTTTCTGTCTGCTAGGATCCAAAAGCTTTTTCGCATTCACATTGGCAAACAAACTTTCTTCCGGAGTTTTCTTTTTCATTTGCAACTGTTCTTCGTGACTGTGAGTTTTGACGTGCTTTCTCAAACTGCTTGGATCGGTGTATTTTTTAAAGCAACCGGTAACTTGACAGCCATAAGGTTTCTGGAAAAAGGCAATAATTTAGTTGGTTATGGTTATAGAAAATTAAATTACGTACAGTATCAAAATGAGTTCTTTGATGTTTAGCTCTATCAGAACTGTTCGAGAAGCATTTCGAGCAGCCGGTAAACTGGCAAAGGTACGGCCTCTCACCGGTATGGCTTCTCTGATGGATTTTGAGATTTTCGAGTCTGGAAAATGCCTTGTTACACCCTTCGAACTGTAACAAACAAAAGCAATAATTTAACATCATATTGTGCGTATCAATAAAAAAAAGCCAAATGTTTCAACTTCCGTTTTTTTTTTTTGCTTTGCCGTCTCCAAATTAAATTGTCTGCATCCAGAAAGTATCAAATTATGATGCGGTCATTCAGGAATCAAGAGGCAACGGATTTTGACAAAAATTAACATATTTTTAATTCAAATTATCAACAGATGTTTAGTGAAACTCTAACTTGGTATAACCAGTGCAGTGGATTGTAATTTACTGGATTTCTATACTACCCGAAGACATTTCTCCATAATCTAAATGTATTAGGTACAAAATAGGTGTTAACTTTCCTTTGTAATGGAGGCATTAAACAGATATTGATAATTCAAGAAAGCTCAAAATTCTGTACTATTTTATAGACCCCAATGTTATTGGAAATGTGTCCCGCCAATGGCAGACATTCAAGCGTCTTAAGTAAAGATATACTTTATACACAACCACCTGCCCCAACTATAAAGTCATTGAGCCTCAAAGACCATATTATTGTTAATATAAAAAAGTGTCGTGCATGTTACAGAATGTTTGTTTTAGTTTTTTTTATTAATGAATGTATTAGAATTAATGTCTGAGATGTAATATGATGAGGGAGGCTTGATTCTTGATGAAGCCTTTCATTTTTCAATGTCCATCGATAGTTTTCTTGAGCATTCGATTGTTTTCGATACTAATCTACGTTACCGACAAGCGACAGTTATAGGCAGTAAATGGTTTTACTTTAATCCTAACGTAGGTACTGTTATAAATTTCTCAAGTTTTAGAAATTATTCACAATCTTGCAAAACTGCAAACAGTCTAGCAAATTCGAAAGGAAAGGAAAGCTAATTATCTAGACAATTGTAGAAGAAACGACGAGCTATAAAACGGAGTCGGCCAAGTCTAGAATAAGTTAGTTTATTATAAAACAGTTTCTACTACTGAAAATTCTCCTTTCATATAAAATTATTATTTTCCATTTATTCCATAGCAAATAAAAATAAATGGGACCACGACCTGTTGACCTAAAGCTGGCTAGACATACGTCGCGCCCTCTGTTTATTATTATAATAGGTGCGAAGTGACAAACAGTGTTTAATAAACTATTAATTATCGAGTCTAAACGGCCTGTAAGCGTGTGTTATTCTGTTTACGTTACAAGGGTTGCGCGGCAAGTTAAACTAACTAATTTGTTTTGGTTCGAGAATCAAAAGAAAATAAACGGAACTATTTTTAGAACTAGAATATACCATAATTGGCATAAATGAATAGTTCAACCTTAATGAATTCACATACTTTTGTATTAAATTGCAGCTTCATTGCCATCATGCAAAGAATATGAATGACAATGACAGTGTCGACCAATAGGGGTTTACAAGAGATTGACCAGTCGGTAACTTTGACAGATGAACTAACCAATACTGGTTGGCAAATGACGTTCAATCCATTATTTATCTGTCAACTGTTCTTCCACTTGTTGAATTCAGCACTATCCCGTATTAGGCCCGGTTTATTCATCTTGCGATAAACTTGCTGATAACTGTCTACAAAGGCAAACTTACCAAACTAGTTATCCAGCCGACCAATAGCTAGGATTATACAGTATGAGCACGTAAAGGTTGGAATAAAATCTATAAAATATACAGGGTGGATATTTTTCAAAAAACCTCGGATACGTCAGTTTTTGATTTTAGTGGCCGCTTTTTTGATGACTATTTCACTAGAGTGTTTTACACTGGCAAAATGTCATAGGAACGGCCGGTTTCCTATTGACAAAACTCCTACCTGTTCCTACCTGGACAAAACCAACATGATGGTTTTTCAGCGACAAAATTTTGTGTGGTTAATGTAAAAAACTATTAGACTATCCAAGATGCTGTCAAACTTAAATTAAAATGTCCGCCAAGAGGCACACAAACCCTTTGTTTGTTTGTCAAAGTCACGTGTTTTAGATAGGCTAATTGAGTTTGACAAGTGTCATCTAAAGAAAATACATTTTTCAAGTAAAAATTTAGCTTGTTTTTCTCGTGAAATAGTCCAGCCGAATACCACTCAAGAAAAAATTATGTAGCCAAAATTATTCTCTTGGTTTTATTCAAGTTTGTTGCTTTTTGGTAATTTCGCTCATGAAATTTTTGACAAAACCACTCGCCTGACGGCTCGTGGTAAAATTTTGCCAACAAATTTTTTTCTCTTGTGGTATTGTTTATGAAAATTTCATACATCTGTCAAAACTGGTATTCCAACAATATATTGACATGTTCTGATTGTTGATTTGAACCAATCAGATTGTAATTACGCGATAATTTGCACTAGTGCAAATTATCAGATAATTGCATACTAACTGGTGCGAAAACTGGTGTTTTGACATTTTTTGACAAAAAATTTAAATTTTTGATTTATGAAATTCTCTCATTAAATACAACTCGTGCAATGGAAATATATTTATAATTTTCGACGAATTTGCACTCATGCGTTTTTAACTGAAAAAGGCACTCGTGCACTATGTGCACTCGTGCTCTTTTTCAACTAAAAATGCATTCGGGCATATTTCCCAAAAATTATCAATAATTTCCATTGCACTGTTATATTACTATTGATAATACCATGTATACAGGGTGACTCAAAAACAAGTAATGACAGCTAACTTTATCTTTCTGAATGAAAACACTAATTTTTTATTTCATTTTCAAATTCTATGGTAAATTCTGATCCTATTTCATGTATCATGTCTTATACCTATCTTTAACTGTTTCGGAAATATTGACATTTAAAAATTGACTTTTTTGCAACTCTGACAGGCTGTAGAACCTAAACGGTTAATTTTAGAGCAAAACCGATCGTACATTTTCATCTTAGTTTTCCATAAACTATCATTTAACACCAACTTTGAATTTAACCGGAGTTAAATTTAATTGGAATTTTTAATCATGGATTAAATTCAAAGTTAGTATCAAATGATAGTTTATAAAAATCTAATAATAATAATAATAATGTAAAATCGGTTTTCCCCTAAAATCAACCGTTTAGCTTGCACAGCCTGTCAAAGTTGCAAAAAAGTCCATTTTCAACTGTCAATATTTCCGAAACAGTTGAAAATAAGTATACTGTCAATATTTCCGAAACAGTTGAAGATAGGTATAGGACATGATACATAAAATATGTTCAGAATTTAACGTAGAATTTAAAAATGAAATAAAAAATTGGTGTTTTCATTTAAAAGAATAAAGTTAGCTGCCATAACTTGTTTTTGGGTCACCCTGTATATATGGTATTATCATCAAAAAAACGGTCAATAAAATCAAAAAATGACATGTCCGAGATTTTTTGAATAATATTCACCCTGTATATTTTATAGATTTTATTCCAACCTTTACGTGCTCACTGTAGATTGCGTTTTTATCTGTCGGATTGCATTGTCTGACAGTTTATCAGAAGGGGAATAAACCGGACCTTGAAATAATGATAATCCTAATATCAACCAAAAAGTCTCAGGACCGGTTTATCACTGTACGGTTATCTAGTCTAGCTGTCGGTTAATTGATCATATAAATATTAGTTAACTGACAGCTAAACTAAATACCCTTGCTTCAATTAGAGCTTAATTACATTGAAACCGGATAAAAATTTAGAGAGCTGTGAGGCAAAAACTGTCTCGGTGTAATTTTTGGAAAATTTTCAATGTGCGATATTTTCAATCTTGAAGCTTCTCAGCTCAGGCTCAGGTGCAAAACTGTTGAAACCAAATTCAAATCTTGATTAATGATTTTGTAGAGGATTTAATTGGCTTTAATTAGAGCTTAATTACATTGAAATCGGATGGAAATTAACGGAGCTGTGAGGCAAAAATTGTCTCAGTTTCATTTTTGGAAAATTTTCAATTTTCGATAATTTAAATTTTCAAGCTTCTCAGGTGCAACACTGTTGAAATGCAAATTAAAATCTTGATTGATAGGTTGTAGAGAATTTATTTCGCTTCAATTGAAGCTTAGTTACATTAGAATCGGATAGAAATTAACGGAGCTGTGAAGCCAAAACTGTCTGAGTGGCGTTTTTGAAAAATTTTCAATGTTCGATAATTTCAAGCGTCTCAGGTGCAAAACTGTTAAGAACAAATTGAAATTTTGAATAATAGATCTATAGAGAATCTAATTTAATTTTTAGAGCTTCATTACATTGGAGTCTGATGAAAATTAACGGAGCTGTGAAGCAAAAACTGTCTCAGTGTCATTATTAGAAAATTTTCAATGTTCGATAATTTCAATTCTGAAGCTTATCACGTGCAAAACTGTTGACATCAAATTAAAATCTAGATTCTTAGGTTTGTAGAGAATTTAATTGCCTTTAGTAAGAGTTTAATTACATTGAAATCGGATGAAAATTAAAGGAACTGTGAGGCAAAAACTCTCTCAGTGTCATTTTTCGAAAATTTTCAATGTTCGATAATTACAATTATGAAGCTTCTCAGGTGCAAAACTGTCGAGAACAAATTAAAATCTTAATTAATAGATTTGTAAAATATTTATTTGGCCCCAATTAGAGCTTAATTACATTGAAATCGGATGAAATTTATCAATGTCATTTTTTGGAAAATTACACAAAAAAACAGAACTCTGTATTGCTAACAGTTGTTTCATTCGAGATTTCGATTAATTAAACAGCTTTTCAAAGCTCAAATAGTGAGCAAAAAAATCTTACCGGACATTTGTTCGGTTTTTCCCCGCTGTGGACTCTCATGTGGATCAGCAATTTGTATCTGGCATTGAAGGGCTTCGTTTTTCTCGGACATTGTTCCCAGAAGCAAGTAAATTCGTCTCCTTGAAGAAAGAAAAATTATAGAAAAATCAAAAAAAGAGTTAAAAATAATATGAGAAACTCTGATACATGATTGAATAAAGTTAAATAACAGAAATAAAGGAAAAAAGTTTCAAAGAAAACCGGTGAAGTTCTGGCAAAATTAAGAAAGTTTGAAAGAAAATATTTATAAAGTCATAGAGAAAGTTGAAAGCAAGTTTCGATGCAAATTTTGGAACACGATTTAGGTAGGTAGGTACCTACTCTTAAATTATTGATCATCAAATGAAATTTACCAGTAGGTAAGTGTTTTAGAATTCGTAATGAACATCTTCCATACAAAATAATTTATTTTTTGAATGTGTTCTTACCTCTTTTAAGTTCCACGTGACTCTTTTCGATGTGATTCACCAAACCCGGTTGACTGGAACACTTTTGATAGCAATTTTCCCATTTGCACTGATAGAAACCGGTGGAAGTCACTCCGTCTTCTTGCTTGTCCGCTTCCTGATCCAAATTGTCCGAAATTAATCGAGTGTCACTTGCATAAAAGTTGTTACTGGAACTGATAGCAGAATATTTAAAAAAAAAAATTCAAATGCGAAAAACTAAAATTATGCTTACCTCAACAATGGATCATCGTTCAATAAAGCATCCGACTGAGGCAGCACCATGTGATTTTGTTCCATAACATGGCACATTTGTTCTTTTTCTAAAGCGTTCAATGCGAAGTCGCAATTTTTTGTTTCGGATGTCTTCAGCAAGTGCCCAAACTCGCTCTTGGATTCTGAATCCTGGAAAACAAACACCAAAAATTATAAATAAAAATATATTAGAGGATCGTGCAAAAAGTCTACGCACCTGTTTCAAATATCCCAAATCATCATCAGGTATATTTCTGACGTAACAGTTGAAATCGAAATTATTCTTGGTGATGATGGTACCAACAGGTGGTAGGCAAGTGGTTCCAGCATATTCATCAATCGAGGTCTCGTCCAAATCTTGTATTTCCGACGACCAATCTCCAATGTCCAACGAAGTATCAGACAATACTTCACAAATATTAATATCTTCGAAAGCGTCCTGTTTTTGATTGAAATTATTTTTCATTATCGGTGGAGATACGTAGAAATTTGAAAACTCCTTTACTGTTCCAGTGGCAGCGCTACTACTGGTACTCTCCGTGGTAAAAGTTTCGGTATCGAATTCAACAACAGTCGTAGAATCAGAAAACGAGTCTCGAACGTTGTGGTCGAAATCTTCAACGAAATCATTGAAGTCGAAATTGATATCGCAATCGGTGGGACTGGAATCTTCCGATATTAAAAAATCAATCAGATCGTCGTCGTTAGTTTTGTTTTCATAAGGATCTTGTAAGGTTTCGATAATGTCCGTTTTGGAAACAGTTTGAGCTTCGTAAAATGCCAAGTTGAATTTTTCCATTAGTTCTGCTTGGGTGTAATTAGTCAATGGGTTGTAGAGCTGGTCCGGAGAGAGGTAGCATCCTTCTGGTACCGACTTTAGCAACATCTTAACTAGGAAAAGTTCAAAAAAGTTTAGAGAGAAAGTAGATATATTTTTTAACTTTTGTAACTGGTTTTTAATGTGTATAAAGAAAACTATAAAATTATGCTAATAGCTTATTCAAAACATAAAAAAATAAATAATATAAGTTATAGAAAAGTAAAATTTATTAGTAAACATATTAAAATAAGTACTTACCTATAATCACAAACTTAAAAGCAAAGCACACGCACAAAATTGAACAAAAAAATAATTAAAAAAAGTTCAAATAATAAAAAAAAAAACTAAAAAGCGCAAAAAACTAAATCATGCCAAATGATAATAAAAATCTTCCGATTTCTGGAAGAAAAAGCGTCACATAACCGTGTGTCTCATTTGAGCGCTATTTCGTAATTAACTTACTTAACGGCCTTAAGTGATTGAGTCCCTGGAACAGGCATACGACGATATTCTCGGCATCGATCGGGATTCGTTTCGGAGGCCAATTAGACGCGCTTCTCCAGGAATCCTTCGGGATTACGTCGCGGCAATTAGAGGGTTTTTAGGCACCTGTTTTTGAATTGGGGAAGGGAATTCGGAATAGAGATTTTCAGGTTGTCAGACAGGTGTCGAAATAAATAATTGATTTACCCTGTAAGGATTTGGATACCGTTGGTTACTTATTTGGGGTGTATTAATTTTTCTTTGAGTTCTACCAAAAGTTCTTATTTTTTTATATTTGTTCAACGTTTCCAATTGAATGCTTTTAAAATAAGAGTCTCTTTAATTGAAAACTTGGTCTCTAGCTGTTTCAGCCCAGACAGCACACAAAGTCGTGAAGACGTCTTTTTTTAGGTCTGCATTACGTCCGTCTGAAGACCAAAAAAAGAGGCCTAGAAGACGTTGTTTGAACATAACTGCTTACTGTTTTTTAGACTTCTACTTACGTGTTCAAGGCGTCTTAAAATGTTATAAAAACCAACGTCTTTCAGGCGTCTGACTAATGACGCCTTCAGGACTAATATTTTCTTATTATTACTCATTCCATAACTTTTCAATTTTTGTCTATTCCCAGGCTCTATAATTCTAAGGAAAGCCTTCCAAAATGCTGCTGGAAAGTGTTTTGGAACGTTCTAGATGGCTTATTAAAGTTATAAAGTGTTCTAACTTGGCTTGAAGTGTACTGGAGCATTCTAGAAACTTTTCAGTAATTTCTAAACTGTTCTGACAGATTGTTAAGTATCTTAGAGCCTCCATTCAAGCTCCAAAGTTTTCTAAATTGGTTCTAAAGAGTTCTAAAACGTTTCCAATTCTAAATTGATTCCTAATAATTGTTTTTAAATAACTCTGAAGTTTCTAAATTGTTCCGAAATGCGCCTGCAAATTCTGATTTGGATTTGAACTGTTTTGGATAGTTATTGAAGATTTAAAGTTCTTCAGCAATTCAAATTCGTTCTTAAACGCTTTCTGAAAGGCGTTTTGTTACTTTCAATTTGCATCCTAAGATTCTGGAGCTTTTTAAAATGTTTTTGCAGATTCTAGAGTGCCTGAGTGTTTTGGAGCGTCCTGAAATGGGTTTCAAACTTTGAAATTGTTCTTAAATGCTTATGGACATAATAAATTGGTTTTTGCATATTTTCGGGCATTCTAAAATGGTTCTGAAATTTCAAAAAATGTGAAATGCTACAGGATGCTTTTGGAAATTCTGAATTGAATTTTAAGTGTTTTGAACTTTCCAAAAGATTTATCAAAGTTCTAAAGTATTCTGTAGCATTCATGGTTTTCAGTAACTGGAATTGAAAACGGATGTGTAGGATATTTTTATATATGTCTTAATAGTAGAAGATCCGAATAGGAAAGGATCTGCAAATTATTTTATATCAAAGTTAGTAGGTATGTTAAAAAATATATCAGGTGTGGGTTGGCTAAAAAAATCCTGGCCAGACTATTATTAATAAATAATTCAAAAATTATAATTGTCAAAGGCATTGCACTCATTTGTTTAACGAACAAATTTCATACTAATCGAAAGTATAGGGCCTAAAGAATATAGAAACGTTGGGGTGTCTATTTTTTTCCTGGCATAACTATTGGGTTGACAGGTTTGAACAGGTGAGTCGATACTAGTAATTTACACCCATCTGTTTAATGTATAAATCATACACCACTCTGTCGCATATTTCCATCCGCACCAAAATTTCGCTTTTCAAAGCTCGCCAACCGTCATTCAGGCCAGATTTTTCGCCGACAACCCTATATCATCGTGTTCGCAATCAATGCCTTTAACAATTATAATTTTGATACCTGATATATTTTTTAACATACTAACTTTGATATAAAATAATTTTTATCCAATAAACAGATGGGTGCAAATCCTTTCCTATTCGGATCTTAGACTATAAGGACTTACCTATCTAAGATGTCCACAAACGATATTCAAGACGTCTTGGCTTACGTCTGTGAGGAATCTTAAAGGCATCTTGAAGATGTCCTATGGTACAAAACCCAACGTCTTTCAGACGTCTGCCTGAAGACGTCTTTAGGACTAAGACATTTTCACCCAAACCACTATTCACTTTTAGGCCTGGTTGTACCAAATAGTTGTCTTTAAGATCTAAATCTACAACATTTTATGGACGTCTTTTTTTTGGTCTTCAGACGTTCAGACTTTGTGCGCTGTCTGGTAGGTATGTACAGGGTGTTTCCTTATATTTTGACCCCTACCTATAGCTTTAGCTATACGAGGTGGAAAAAAACTTTAAATATGAAAGTTGTAGGGTTGTATGTCTATTATCTTTTGCGAATGTCTAAGCGGCAGTGGCGGTTCCTCCATAAGAGCACATGTGCACGTGCACTCCCAAATTAATATCAAACAACTTTAAATTTAATTTTATCATTCTTCAAATTTTAACATTCTACCTGTAAAGTATTAATTTAAAAAATTAGTGGCCAAATGCGCCAGCAAAACAAACGCAACCGGCAACGCTGGAATCACAGCGTCCACCGCGTCGCCTGAACGCCCCGTTCACTGCACATTTCAATATTAAATCCAATTGGTGGAACTATGCCCCCCCGCACTCTTTGTTCCCCGCGAAGGTCTAGCGACGTTCGATGTTTTAAGCTGGCTGGTGTGCACATGTAGTCAGTGCACTTTGGGATCGGAAGCTCTTGTTTTATATTTATTTCGATTTCGAGCGCGATTTAACTGAAAACTGTGTGTAGAATGGCGGGATTTCTGAACCCCGATAGCCTTAGCGTGCAATATTTAAAAACAATTAAATTTTCTTCGCTTTCTTTGGAGGAAAAAATCCAAATCAAATGTGTCGGCCGTCCAAAGCCAAATTTAATAATCACCAACATAACAAAATGCAAAAGTCGTGATTATAAACGAACTTTTAAAATGGAAACTTACGAAAAAACTGACTGGTTGTGCGGTTGTGATGTTAGTAATAGTCTTTACTGTTTTCCCTGTTTGTTATTTGGAAGCGATGAAGCATCAGAATGGACAAAATCCGGCGTTAAAGATTTAGTAGATACATTTATCCGAAAAAATTAAAAAACATCAAAACTCAAAATCACATCTTACTCTTATCTTTCAATACAAAACGTGTCTGTGAGATTGAAAACTATAATACATTTATGTATAAAAACAATTGTTAGATCAGGACGATGTACTCAGTGAGGTAAGTTACTTTGTTACTTAATTTCTAGTTTATTGATATAAGATCCTTCAATTTCCACGATTTGATAGACCGAAAAAAGTATTAAATTGAGCTTAGTTGGTTGTTTGGTAGGGTAGATATGAAATCCCTTAACAATATTTTTAATTATTGGTAGGTAAACACATCACATAACTCATACGATCACTTACAATAAATTATTTTTTTAAAGGCCTAAAATAAACACTTCTGGGCGTGGCGTGGCACCCCAAAAAATTTCGCGCCTCCGGCCACTTCTAAGCGGGCAAATGACAGGTGCCAACTGTCACAATGACAAACACTTGCATTTTTTAAATGGAACACCTTGTATATTTTTGGCTAAAATAATAGCTTTTTTTCTTCTGATTCCAAATATACCATATATGTTGATATACGGTTCAGTTGTTTTTGCGCTATTTAATTTTAAAATTGCATTGAGCAAGCCTCATCATTGATATAAGAAACCAGCACAGATTAAATTAAGGGTAATGTGAATGCATTTTTAAACTTGAATAGCGTAAAAACAGCTGAATCAAATATCAACATATATGGTATATTTGGAATCAGAAGAAAAAAATCTATCATTCTAGCCAAAAATATACAGTGTGTTCCATTTGAAAAATGCAAGTGTTTGTCATTGTGACAGTTGGAACCTATCATTTGCCCATTTTGACATTTGCAAAATATAATAGACATAAAACCCTACAACTTTCATAATTAAAGTTTTTTTCCACCTCGTATAGCTAAAGCTGTGGGTAGGGGTCAAAATATAAGGAAATACCCTATATACAGGGTGACTGGTAAGTAGACGTATTCCTTTGAGGAGGTGAAAGTAGAGCCCATTTGCTACCGATTAAACATCATTTACCTCTATACCATTCTCAATCTCTGCCCGGAAAATATTTAAAATTAAGAAAAATAATAAAAGCCATTTTAAATGTCGCTTTTTAAATTATAAGCTGACACACTTACACAAATATTAGCATTGAAAATTTTGAAACAATAATATTTACTATTAAATTATTTCGGTTTAAACTTAACTTTCCTTGTCAAGTTACAAACTAATGGTTACTTTATGCTTAAAAATTTCGAAAATTTCATAGTACATCAAACGTACAAATTATTAATAAAATTTCTCGATATAATTGTCTTTAGAATAAGGCACATTATTTCAGAATTAGTCTTTTGTTTTATTATTAAATAAATAAGTTTTATTTGTAAGAGTAACTAACCAATATGAAGAAAAAATTACTCGATTTGTTTTTAATACCAAGTGTTACAATAGAAATGTTATTAAATATTGGTGTTAACATTTACCTAAATAAGGTATGTTCCTTATTATTTCGTTAATTTTAAATATTTACCTCCCAAAAAAGTGAATTTCTTAAATATAAAAATAAAAAATATCTCAAAAACCGTTGAGAATGGTATAGAGGTAAATGATGTTTAATCGGTAGCAAATGGGCTCGCTCTACTTTCACCTCCTCAAAGGAATACGTCCACTTACCAGTCACCCTGTATACAGTCATGAGTATGAGTATGACAAGTCTTGTCGTTTTTCGCTATTGTGGGTAAATCAGTCTTTTCCAGAGATAAATAGTATTTTCTCTACAATGGATTTTTTATCAAATATGACAATCCCTGTCATTGCCGTAGGTATAGCTGATGAGCTCGTTCTACAATAGGAAATACGGACGCATCCGAGTTGGGTCTTAAACCTTATCCACTTACCTGCCTTTAAAAAGGTGTGGGCCGAATTGGGACCGAAGAAGATTCTAGGAAAAAAATGGGAAAAAATGGCCTTGTTGTCGCACTTGCCTGGCAAAGGTGAAATGTACATCCTTTTATGTGAGAGAATGAATAGCATATTCAAAATCTACAGCAACGTTTTGTGGATAGAAGTGAAATCGATGTTCTGGTGTGATAAGCATTTTTTCTTGCTCGGGTAATGTCATGTGCTGCAACCAAAAATATACAATAGATTAATCAAAATATGAATCGTTTGCAGGTGCAAAAACATAGATATTCTGAGCGTAAGTCAAGTTGGGATTTTCCAGGAAAGGGTTTGAAGGAGAATGCATCAGGCAGTTCTAGCGTTTCAGATAAATTTACGAAGGAGCGTAACAGTGATAAAAAAATGTGTTTATGTTGCGGAAAGAGTACCTAATCGCGATAAATCAAACTGTAAGTACAAAAATTATAGATGTAGGAATTGTAGAAATATTAGGCATTTAGCAAGTGTTTGCTCGCCACAAGCATATTTTGTAGAAGCAGATGAATCTTGTGAGAATCAGGGTGAACTCTCTAACAACAATCAGCTGGATGCATCTGAGGAGTTTTTTGATTTTATAGATATATATTCTATCAGAGGGAATAAAACAAAATATGTAAAACCTCCACAGATTGAGATGCTTGTGGGTGGCAAATGCTTGAAACTGGAATTAGATTCTGGTGCTGGAATATCGGTAATTCCAAAATAGTTTTTCGTGAAAAATATAACTATAATTTA